TTGTCTTTCTGTGGAGTCAATTCATTTTTATAGTCAGAATTTTGGAGCCAGATGGGTCCCTGAATATCCTTTACTCCTACTAATATATTTTTTTAAGTGCGGAAACTCCAAACTAATGCCTTGGCCAAGGTCTACAACTAGTTAGAGACTGGAAACTAATGCTAGGTCTGACTTACTTCTTTTCATATGGAATACTTGTTGGGGAAGGTCATCAAGAAGATATGGCCACATGTTGGACCTTCAAGCTGGACACAATTGGAGGCTCCTCCCCTGCCCTCCCCTTGTGCATTGGAATGTGCACTATGTTTGCTTTCCCTGGTCCTAGAAGCTGCTCCAAAGATACAGCCTTAAGATAGAAATGTGGTGTTGAGATTATCTGGACTGAGCATGTGACTGACCCCAGTTATGGCCCCCTAAGTATGTGACTAAACCTAGTTAGGGACTCTATAAAACCTTTTAAGATTTGGCAGGTGGGTGCTGAGATCTACTTGTCTTGTCACCCAACACAAGTTTGGTAAGTTGCCTTGCTTATTTCACCTGCCACCTACCAATTTGAAGGCCACCCATGAATTTTCTCAAGCTCTTCCTGTAGTGCATTTCCACCGATTTAGCATTTCAGTACCTAAAAGAGTACAGCTTGCTTATCTAGAAAATGTACTCTTCTGGACTGATTATAAACTATTAAAGAATAATTCTGACATCAACTTAAGTATGAACAGCTCTACCTCTCACTTATTTACAGAATAATCCATTTATTTATATCCAGATTTTCTCAAGTTCATTGTCTTATAAAAAAAACCTTTTTATAGCCATCTTCACTCAGAAGAACACAACAGAAAACAGGGATAGCCCACAGGAAAGGTTTACAGTTTAATTTTTAAAAAATGGAGGGGCACTGCAAATTAGAGCAGTTTATGAGTTTCACTTTATGATCTGATTCATATCCTACATATAAGTTAAGTTCCTATCTTGCCCTGGCTGGTGTGGCTCAGTTGGTTGGAGCATCGTACCATGCACTGAAGATTGCGGGTTTGATTACCAGTTGGGGGCACGTATATTTCTCTCTCACGTCGATATTTCTCTCTCTCCCTTCCTTACTCTAAAATAAATGAACGTGTCCTCATGTGAGGATTAAAAGAATTCCTATCTTACGTCAATTTATCCTTGCCATTGTAAATTATAATAAAATACGCTAAAACGCGAAAAGTTCTATATTAAGGCTTATAATAATTTGAGAATAATATTGGAAGGCACCTCATCCCTTCAGGTGGTTGAGATATTGTGCCTACTCTGTGGCTCAGGATAAGGCTGGCTAGAAGAAATGCCTAAGACATAGAAAGGCAGGTAAGCAGATGAACTGATCATATTTATGTGAATCACTATTTTATATCAGGAAAACTGATTTAAAATTCACTGCTACAAAGATCATAGAATCTGCTAATTATCATAAATAATGAGTTGCATAAGTTTTGTAAATAAGTAGTCTACTGCTTTCAAATGAAAAAAGTATAACCTTTTGATGAGCTGGGCTTCAGAACACCCGCTTTAGTTGCCTATCCGCAACTTGTTCTCAATCCTGTTTGCATCACTTTCTATTCCGTGACACATTCCTACACTGTTAAAAATTGTTCTCTGAACCTTTACTCTTTCTTAGTGTCCTTTTTTTACTTACTTTCTGGATCCCCCTTTCTATTTCACCGTCTGCTTTCCTCACATCCAGATACCCTTGCCCTTATACTCCAAGACATCTACATCTGCATGAGTTTGCTTGTTGCTCTCTGTCTGCCCCAAATTTCCAACTTTTACTCTCATTTAAGCGGTTTTCCATTCTTCTGGCCTAGCCAGTAATCCACTCTTCCTCCTTATCTCTCCATAAAGCTGCCACTCTTTCAGATAACCCAGCTAAGTTGTAGAGCAGTAAACTCTTCAAATTAAACCATACTAATATAAATAGTTGATAATTTTTTTAAAAAAATATATTTTATTGATTTTTTACAGAGAGGGATAGAGAGTTAGAAACATCGATGGGAGAGAAACATCAATCAGCTGCCTCCTGCACACCTCCTATTGGGGATGTGCCCGCAAGCAAGGTACATGCCCTTGACCGGAATTGAACCTGGGAACTTCTAGTCTGTAGGCCGACGCTCTATCCACTGAGCCAAACCAGTTAGGGCAATAACTGATAATTTTTACTCACCCCTGGCCACCCTTGTCCTGGCCTAAGCCCACCATGCTTGTTAAAATAATTCGTTGGTAAAATTTCGTACCAATTTGGGTAGAAAATTGGGATCGGGGATGTTTGTGGTGAGGTTAATTGGAGACACACCTTTAAACATACAAAACAACCTATTTCCCAATATATTCCCGCCTTGGAACAGGCAAGGAATTGGTGAATAAAAAGAAATATTTTGGTGAATAAAAAGAAATATTGATCCCTGTTGGGATTTCCTGATTCTATCTACTTTCTAAGGCTTGATTCAGTTATGTCTACTTTGAAATCGAATGATTGGAGGAAAGGGGGTGTGCCAAAGGTATGATCTGGTTTCCAATGTCTGGATGCAGATGATACTGTCAATTCAGGGTCCTAGAACACTGAAGCCCAGGGCTGGAAAATGAAAGGTCTGACAGTCTCATGAGTTGTGGAACCAGGATGTCAAAAGGTTCTCAAAGTTTTCTGTCTCTTATCTGTCATCTTTCTTCTTCCAGGAATACTTCTTTTGATTATATGAAAGTAATACCAATTACTATTTATGGCTAATTACTCATGACACAGTAACAAACAGCTAATTGCAGTTAGCATTGTTCTAAAGCTTTACTTTAATACAATACTGTATTTTTCTCAAGTTTTTACTCTTTTTAAAAAAATATATATATATTTTTTTGTTGATTTTAGAGAGGAAGGGAGAGGGAGAGAAACATCAATGATGAGAGAGAATCATCGATCGGTTGCCCCTGTACACCCCTCACTGGGAATCAAGCCAGCAACCTGGGCATGTACCTGTGACTGGAATCAAACCCAGGACCCTTCAGTCCGTAGGCTAACACTCTATCTACTGAGCCAAACCGGTTAGGGCTCAAGTGTTTAGTCTTCACAGTTCTGTTCATTGGCAAGGTTTACCTTACTAAAAGAAGCTAGATACAAAAAGTAACATATTACATGACTCCACTTATATGAAAGTGACTAATAAATCAAATGCAATTATAGTAGTCCCCCTTATTCGCAGGGGATACGTTCTAAGACCCCCAGTGGATGCCTAAAATTTAGGATAGTATCGAACCTTATATATGTTTTTTTCCTATACATACATATATACCTATGATAAGATTTAATTTATAAATTAGGCACAGTAAGAGATTAACAACAATAAAATAGAACAATTATTAAAACATACTGTAATAAAAGTTACGTGAATGTGCATGTGCTAGCTCTCTCTCAAAATAGCTTATTGGACTGTACTTATCCTTCTTGTGATGATATAAGATGATACAATGTGATGGGAGGAAGTGAGGTGAATGACCTTGCTCTACAAGAGGCCAAGAGTGTCCAACCTAACCTTCTGCCAACTTGAAGTAATATTATTTACATTATTGACATTATCCAGCTTTCTCCTGATCCAGAGATCAATGTTTTGAAAACAACTTATTCTACTGTTAAACAATTGAATACTTCATTGAATCTTAATAGCTTTATTCAATCTCTATTTGTGCCGGGTGCTGAAGTATTTATAGTAAGCCCAAATGTGTACTGCTCTAATTTTTTGCAACTATTTTCAATTTTGCAATCTGGAGAAAAAATATGTCTACTCCTTTCTTTAGAAAACAGTCTTTGAGGTATTTTTAGACAGCTTTTGGGAGTCCCTTAAGTCTTCATTTTTCCAGGCTCTATATTAAATTCTGCCATTCATTAATATTCTTCTTAAAATTGCATAGCCAGAACCAAAAACAACATTTCAAATGATTTCTAATCAGACCTAAACAGTCTAAATAGTCCCAAGATATGTGAATATTTTTCTTTTATAAATGTAGTTTAAGACTACATCAGCATTGTTAGTAGTTATGTAATACTGACAGCTTAAGATTACAGAAAACAGAATCATTCAAGTCTATTTTACCAGCAACTCAGGTCTTCCAAATTCACAGCTTAAGCAATGCATTTGTCCACATTCAATTTAAATATGGGCTAAAAATACACCTTAGAATAAAGGAAATGTATCTATTTCACCATAGAAAGCTTCCTGTCTCTCTTTTTAGCTTGACTAAGCAGCAGACTAATCAATCAATCAATAATTTATTTATTGCTTATTTTATCTATGGGAAATTGTACTCTTCTAACGTTCAATTCTGAAGAAAGTCACATCTTTAGAGGCAGTGTGGTTGATTAAATGAATCACGTAAGGTCTTAATCAGAGAGAAAAGAAGAGAGAACATAGACGTGGTGAAGAAATAGTGTTTATCCCTGAATCTTTTAGAAACCAGCAATGCAAAAACTCCAGTTTTCCTTTGAATGTTTGTTTTCTCAGCAGCAGCAGTGGTGCCAAGCTATAGAGAGGATGGAAATTTCTCTATATCACTTATATCAGTTTTAAGAAAGAGTATAGCCCTCTAGTTCTCCCCATTTTTAAGATATCTCAATTTAAAAAACATAGCCACCAATTTGTTTCTAGGTTTATAAAACTTGATATAAACCCTTGGGAAGCAAGAAATGCTACATGTTCTAAGTTTCAAATACAAACCTGAAGATCATATTAGTGAGATCTCTATAACTTGTCATATGCCAAGATTTATTATAATTGGCTAAAAATCAGAGAAGCTAAGCCCATTTGAAAAATTTTATCTAACATACAAATAGTGGTCTAATAAGTGGTTAGAAAGGCTCTTTCCCACCTGCATAAGTACTTAGAATGTTCATTTTTGTCCTACAGATTTTAATCAAGAGTGTCACTTCACGTCCATGTATAGTTTTCTCAGAAATGGTGAAAGAGCTAAATGTTTGAAATTACCTTGAGTGGTGAAGTTGAAGAGTGCAGGGGTGTCTCGCCCATTTGGTAGTTTGACATTTGGGTCCCGTAATTCATCAAAAAATGAATGTGCACAAGCTTCCAGTGGTGTCAGTCGGGCAGTTGGTGTATACTCCAACAGACGGCTACACAGTGCAATTGCCTCTGGTGGAGTTCGGGGTCGGAAGACCTGCAGTACAAAAAAGGGAAAGAACAATTAATGTTTTTTAAGAATCTTAGCAATATATCCCGAGTACTGAGAATTCTTACCACATACAAAAACATGGTTGCATTTGTGAAAGTAACCTTCTAGAATGAAAAGAGTTAACTTCATATAATTCACCACACTGTGGTGAGCTGCTAATTAAAGACTATATGAGAAAAGCTCAGAGAAAAAACTAGGAGAAGTGGAAAAAAAAATCTATATATGCTAATCATAAAGCAGAACAATCTAACATGCACACAAAATATGACAGGCACAAGAGAAAGGATGAGTTCTGGAGGCAAAAACATGAAGAATATAAAAATTTTTTTAAAGAATATAAAATTTTAAAAAAGTTTTGACTGCAGTGGCAGTAGATAAAAGTTTGCCTCTTTTATGTGATTTGTAGTAGAACAACTATTGATAATGGAGAGAGCACTTTTCAAATCTGGCGATCAATATCTTTTAAAAAAGAAAAGCTATTTACTCTAAGTCTATAAATGTCAATGATTTTATATTATCTTGTTAATAAATAGAACCTATCATTATTTGAAGAAATTCCTGAATATCCAGAATTTGACAAAATTTCCAAAAACTGTTTTCTCAAGTAGCCGTTTCTCATGAACATGGCCAGATTACCCTCATTTGTATGAATACTCTAAGGTTTTTTTTAATCATGAAGAGAGAAATGTAGTTTTCATCAAGAGCCATTAACTCACAGAAAAAGTCAATTGAAGCAAAATGCAAATAAATTAATTTGCTTAAAGGAATAGAAAGCTTTCTACTTACCTATGTCTTAAAATCCCTAATCAATACATAAAACTATGAAAATATACTTCGTTTTAAATTATGGACAGTTAAAGAATACAAACAGAAGGGGAAAATAAAACTTAAAAAAAAAAAAGGAAACACTGGCCCTGGCCGGGTAGCTCAGTTGGTGGTTAGAGCTTCGTCCTGATGCACCAAGGTTGGAAGTTCAATCCCCAGTCAGGACACATACAAGAAAGAACCAATGAATTCCATCAATAAGTGGATCAGATTGTTCCTCTCTAAATCAATAAATTTTAAAAGTCTGCTAAAAAAAATGAAACATGTATCTCTTGATAGGAAGAACATAGACTCAAACAGTAGGTGTGGTAGTAGCAGTAGTGGAATTAACAGACATAAAAAGAAGCAGAAGTTGCCCTAACCGGTTTAGCTCAGTGGATAGAGCATCGGCCTGCGGACTCAAGGGTCCCAGGTTCTATTCCGGTCAAGGGCATGTACCTTGGTTGCGGGCACATCCCCAGTAGGGGGTGTGCAGGAGGCAGCTGATTGATGTTTCTCTCTCATCGATGTATCTAACTCTCTATCCCTCTCCCTTCTTCTCTGTAAAAAAATCAATAAAATATATTTAAAAAAAAAAAGAAGCAGAAGTGCCCTGGCCAATGTTGCTCAGTGGTTGGAGCATCAGTCCTCACACCAGTAGGTCACGAATTTAATTCCTGGTCAAGGGCATTGTAACTGGGTTGCAGGCTCAATCATCAGCCCCAGTCGGGATGTGTGCAGGAGGCAACCAATTGATGTGTTTCTGTCACATCAATGTCTCTCTCTCTCCTCCCTCTCTCCCTGTCTTCCACTCTCACTAAAAAACAAAAGAAACAAGTATTCTTAGATGAAGATTAAAAAAAAATGCAGAAATGTATAAATGGAGGGAAACAGACCCACAAATGAGCAAAGGATATGCAGATTGTGACATGGCATGGAAGAGCCTGGGAGGCTAAGGTTTCCTAATGAGAATGGTTCATGTAACTCTGGGCATTCACTTAGACTAAAGGTAGGAGAACTAATTACTATTACAGGGCTCATTAGATTTCAAGAGACCGAAAAAAAAAAAAAAGAGTACTTTGTACAGAGAAAACCTTTTTTTCTCTCGTTTTACAAAAAGTTTATTATTGATAAATATATTTTCCATGGAAACTGAGAAACTGATTTAAGCAGGATCTCATGGATTTATTTTAGAATATTGAAGGCCTTGGTAATTTATTTATTTGGCTGTGTTAGAAAACCCTCTGTAAGGTAAAAAACAACCTGCTTCATCTTTTATTCGTTTGAGTGACCTGACTTGCCTCAGTCAAGAAAACCCAACGTTACTGTATTATTTGAAACGTTTAGATTTTCTACTGTTCTTGGTCATTTTTTCCTCACGTGCTCCCAGCCAGGACCATAATCAAACTCACATGTAAAAGAAAATAGTCAGTAGGAAAATTTTTAATAAAAATATTAAGCACTACTGACATATTTTATCCTAGTACAGTTCTCGGATTTGACAGCATATGGATTTATTTTGCTAGCTAGTATAATAAAAAATGCTTCTGCACCAATATGGGAGGCAGATAAGTAGAATTAAAAGTAGAAATAAGTATCTCCTGCTAACATTCAAATGTCGGGTAGCTGGACAGTGAGTGTATTTTTAAAAATTTCCTGTTTTATTAATGAAGATTTTGTAAAGCTATTAATAAATCACTATTGTAACCTTTTCTCCGGTTATTAAAAAAGAGCCATCCACATCTTTCTGATAACTTACAGGCTATACAGGACCATCCATGTTAGCACTAAGACACATATTAGCCTATTTTGCCAGGGAATCCTAACTCATGGAATCAGATTTTAAAAAAATAAAGGCATTCATTCCAAGAACCTATATTAAAATCAAGACTTAACCTGCCTTTTAAAAAACTATCCATTATTACTTAAAGCCCTTTGAAAGATTCCTGATGAGAAAACCTTTGGTTCATTACTTTATAAAGGTTAAGTAGACATTTATGTGAGGTCAAAAACCAGTGTTTCCTAAAGTTCAGATTTTTAACTGTAATATAGGGTGTGGTAGCAAGCAACTTCCAAAAATTGCAGTCTAAACTAGAAAACAACTCTTCTGAATTATCTTTGTGTCTAAAGGAAAGGACACCAGTACCTACTGAAATTTGACTTTTAATAAAAGTTTCTGCTTCATTCTTCACTTATTTCAATTGCTTAACACTCAGAACCTTTGGTTCCATGGACCTTCGTCAATATTTATTCTTGTAAAAACAATTTTCAAACCCCGTAACTCCTAAACTTTAGTCTAGATGTCAATAAATCACTCAGAAGACTGACAATCTATACCATAAGCAAAACCTGTATCATACAGTGAATGAAACAGAAATCAGAGCTACCTACATTGTTTTTACTGTTACATTCCAAGAATGAATAATTGTTTAGCCTTTCAAAAAGTTTTCCCCCTAGTTTTATAAACCTGCCCTGAAATTTTGGGAAAAAAAAATTAAGTACATACCCGCACTCCTGAGTTGAAATGTCCTGTTCCTGATGAATCCTAAAGATGATAATGCAGTGAAATAATCCAAACAGGGGAAGTCAATCCAAAAGAGAATAGTCCAGCAAGGAAAAATATATCCAATGTTATAAGAAATCCATGGTGTGGGGGGGACATAGAAAATGTTTATACAGTTATAAACTTTAAACATCAGTCTCCACAGTAGCAAGTCCAAGTTTTAAAAATTATTTCACCACAGTGTATGCAAAAAAATTTTTTTGATTGCGCAATGGTGAGGCACAGTAAAGAAACATTTTAATTTATATTATGTTCCAATGCCAGTGCATTTATTAAAAAAATACAAAACCAAAAAAAGTTAAAATCAAAATGAAATCTAGAAGTAACGTTCCCAAAGTAAAGTGTTTGGTCTTCTATGACCTGGATTCATCATCCATTGACATGGCTGGGAGGGGGCATTTAAGATTGCTTTTAAAGATATGTTCCCAATATGCTAATTTTCCTCTATTAACATATTCCAGTTATACAGTATAAACATTTTTCTTGCTAAATTATTAGTGATGAGAAATAATATATTTAATTTGTATTACTATAGATTTCAAGCCAAATATTTCCAATTTGTGTGAGCTAAGAAGGATCAGGCCACCGCGGATTATTCTCCATTTTGGATTGACTTCCCTGCTAAAAGATATTTGCTGACATTCTCATTATCTTAGGACTCTTCAGGAATAGACATTATCACCTCAGGAGTGCGGGTATAAACTTACATTTTCTATTGTGGGCTTTGCCCCCTCATACCCTTGCACCCATTACTTAGGAAAAATAAATATATAACATTATTTCCTTTTTGGAAAAACTCACTGGAAAAAAAAATCCTACATCTTTGAGCACTACAATTTCAACACAGTTCCATCTGCAAATATGCCCAATTCACCCACCAAAAGCTAAACAAAAATATATACAATAAACAATACAACTAAGGGACAGTCACAGTTATAGGTGACATGCATAATAATGTACACCAACACCTAGGCACAAAGGAGCCAAATATGCAAGGGAGGTGGTAGGGTCTATTATGTCTAGGTATTGAGAACAAACAATGGCAGAACTCACCAGTAGCTGTGAATTCCCTTGGCTATTCTAAGAGAATTTAACATTCTTTTAGGATAGTTTCCAGTGGGCGAATTAAATATTTTGCAAAAATAAATAATCCGCGGATTACTTTTAGTCTGCAGACTAAAATTTAGTACACGGATTAAAATCCGGCCCATCAGAATAGAAATCTCTCATGAACTAAAACACAACTAGGTGGACGAAAGTAGAAAACCAGACTAAAAAACTGAGAGCACAAAGTAAGACTCAACTGGGCCAACTAACAATTAGTACGCAGACTAAATATGGCCAGCCAAGTATGTTAGCAAGGCCATGAAGAGCCCAAAACACCCCTGTAATAACTAAAAACAGAAGTAAATAAATAAAACAAAACAGAACAAAGCAAATAAATAAATAATTGAAAGAAAGAAAAGAAAAAGAAAAAATTGAAAGGAATCAAAACACTGACATGAACTTTCAAGTGATTCAAATACTACCTCACCTGTGCAGCAACACATTTTCTTAAATTGAAACAAACTCATCACAAATACTAATCCATAGAAGAAATTAACAGAAAAAATTAAGTTTTTCAAAAAGGAAGTCTCAGTGATATTGAACAAATGCAAATGAGTACTTAAATAAAGAATTATTCAAAATAAATTTGCATTTGGATAACTCAAAAATGATAGAGGCAATTTTCCTTTACATGTCCTAGAATAGACTTCTGCCATTATATATCAAATTTCAACCTGGAGCTAAATGTTATGATTGAATCTTGAGCACTTTAAAATTACCATTTATAAACAGTCATATATACCATACCAAAGCCTACTGTTGATTCTCAGAGCATTAACTCTCAATAATTCTACTGCATTAAACAGCCAACCAGAGCAATGTAAAAATGCCTATGGGCAATGATAATCTAAGTAGAACACAGGACTAGTGCCATGCCTATTCTGACCAGTTACTCCTCCCTAGTTTTGATTGTGATAAATGCACAACACAGACACTGTTCTCTGATTATACACAAAATACACAGGAACCTAATGTTAAAAATGGATAAATTCTGAACATTCCTAAAGGGCAACCCAAGTACTGGCTCTCAAGTAATTTATTATCAGTTAAAATTATTTGCAATTTGTAAATGTAAATATAGGATTAAAAGTGCGAGAATGGCATGGATTTTTTTGAACAGTTAATTATGATGATTAACCAAGCTAATTAATTAAGATAAAAACTTAAATCTACTTAAGTGCTCACATATAGTACATAATTCATAAGAAACACAAACATTCTTTCCTTAGCCATGACAGAGCTAGCATTCAATAAATTTCATCTGTGCTAACTAAAAGGCTTATTGAGCTTTCTTGCATTCTATGTATGTTTTGATATCAGCATTTAACTATGCTACGTAATTTCTCCCTCTAACATCATTCACTGATCAATATTACTACAGGCTTACACAGAATTGTGATTTACCAAATGTCCACTTATCCAATTTAATCGCTCATTGTTCATGAAATTATTATTGTAGTCAGGCTGACCTTCCTAAGAATAGGGGCTTATTTCCTTTTCATTCACACTTCCTCATCTTAAAGGATAGTCCCTTAGGCTACAACAATTCTAACCTATGTACATCTAAGGAAATCCAAATCCTCCTTCAACAGCCCACTTTCCTGGGTCCTTCCATCACCTTTTTCCCTCCACCACCCTTGATGTCTTATAAAGCCTGCAACATGTGAAACACCTTTGAACATCTAGAACATACAATCAAGTATATGGTTATATATTAGTGTATATTTATTTGATACTTGCTTCAACTGAGTCAGTTGTGTCACCTGTAACCTTTTCAAGGACAAGGACTATATATTTTACATCTTTTGCATTCTTTATGGCATCCAGCACAGCACTGGGTTACAAAGGATATATGGGTTTTAAAAAACAAATGATAAATTAAAAAATATTCTTATTTTTTATATTATTCCTCTCCCATATTGATTGACTACCCTAGGAAGCCTAGTTACCAGCAAAGAAATGGGAGCATAGCCAGTGTAAATAGGAAAATGAAGACGTCTACTCACATAGGAAACAATGTTAGAAAAAGAAAAGTGATTATTCTAGCACTAGTAAAGATATACGTAGCAAATGCAATAGAAAACAGTGTATTTATGAGAAAAGTGATAATGGATAGTAGAATGTTCAGGCCGGAAGGGGTTAAATAATAATATAGGAAATGATTCACCTAATCAATAGAATAAAACAGACAAGTGGCAATCATAGAAACAAACAGAAATCCCCAACATAGTTTTATGCTTTCTGGAATACAAGTGAGCAAAATGATTAGGGTAAAGAGACTAGAAGAGCTAGATGAAGTGGACCTGCAATAAAGTTTCTAAAGGCAATTTTTGTTTTGTGCTCTCCATGCCCTGCCTGGAAGTATTTTTGGTAACATGTTAAACTACAGTTGGAACAGGTAAGCTTACTAAGTGAAAAATATTGCACTGAAAGGCTCAAAAAAAAAAAAAGTAAGATTATGAAGTCTTTAAAAAGTAAGTATAGCTTTAAGCATAGAGAGTAATTAAGTATAATTGTTTAGTCCAGTCTGATTCCTTGATAGTTGAAATGACCTCAGAACCCAATAATCTGCTTACTCTGTTAGCTAGATGGAAATGCCAGTATTCATTCATTTTAAAACATATGTACAATGTTCTAAGAAATCAAGTATGCAAGGATTGATTTTTGTGGATAATGCATTCTGGGATACTTAATAAAAATGACCTATGGTTCCACATATCCTACAGACACTTAACTATTAAGGAAGCTATCATGTATGCCAAAAACAGCAACAAACATTTTTAGGTAATTGGACCCATTTTGTTATTACCATTTTGAAAGAGAAATTTGTAAATGCTATAATACATATGGTATAATTTGGTACGTATAATCATGGAGAGCTTAAATAATTAGAAAATATTTCACGGGAGAAGTGAAATTTCAGGTCTTGAGAAGAGATTAAAACTTAGTAAGCAGAGAAAAACATTCTAAATGTGGAAAAAAAGAAGACAGTAGCAGGAGGCAGAAATGATTGTGGCTTCTCTGGGATCCAATTAAGGAGACCAGTTTGGACACAAAAATTCAGCATGATTGCATGCTCCCTTCAAAATGAGCTAAAAACTAACATATCAATCAGCCCTAATCCAATTGAAAGAGATCAGGGCCCTTGGGATTCTAATTTACTTCCTTTCACTAAACAGTTATATCACTTATGAATTTCATTAATCTGAAAGAATATACAGATATCTGTGTTACCTAACTGATTTCATATCATAGGTTTATTTACTACTGGGATAAAGAGGGAATACTTTTCTTAAATAACTTAGACAAAAGTTAACAGAATTGGGCACTCAAAATGGGGGGGGGGGGCTCATATCAATTATACTATAACCTTATTAGAAATCCCTAGCGTACCCTATTAACTTTTAAATTTATTGCCTAAATATATGCATTTAAGGGTGAAGGAGCTAGAAAGCTTGAGAAAAAGACTGGGTTCTATCAAGTTGATGCTTCAGGGAAGGTTAAGAGCAGGACAAGAATTAAATATCCTATTATTTTGGACAGGAAAGGTAGAAATGATTAGGAGCAGAGTAAACGTATACTTGTCATCCAAACTGGAACACTTGAGAGTAAAGGGGCATGCACTTAATAATTACATTGACAAGCATAAATTGGGTATTATGTTCACTTGCCATTATATCTATATTATGTCAAATTTTCCTAAAGGCAATGAGGAATCAGAGAAGAATTTTAAACAGAAATGGCAGTGTCACATGTGCTTTTAAGAAACCTAACTTTGACGGAAAGGAAAATGTGACGTATGTGAAACTGAAGGAGGGAAATTGGTTAGGAGGTAGGAGGTTGTTTTAACAATTCTACGAAGGTCTAAGTTAAAGTCAGGGCAGTGGAGATAGATAAGACAAATCACAGAACTATAATGGAGGTAGAATCTTTACATTTATTCAGAACTAAAATGAAATAATCCTTTATATGCATACTTTCACAATATTTTCAAAAGAATCCAGAGAAAAAATACAACAGATTGTTAACAAAAGAAAAAACTTGAGGAACAAAGAAGCAGTGCTTAAATTAGATCCCCACTTCATACCTAAGAGACTATTATATTTGCCCTGGCTGGTATTGCTCATTGGATGGGCATAGTCCCGTGCACCGAAAGATTGCCGGTTTGATTCCCCGCCAGGGCATGTGCCTGGGTTTCGAGCTCCAACCCTGGTGGGAAGATTGCAGGCAGCAGATCGATGTGTTTGCTCTATTCTCTCTCTCTCTCTCTCTCTCTCTCTCTCCTATAAAAATGAATAGAATTTTTTAAAAAGAAAAAAGAGTATCATTTAACCAGACCTCCATTTTCTAAATGCAGAATTTAAGTTTACTCTCTTCTTCCAACCAATTTCCATTTCTACTTAATTCTCAATCTACTTTTGCATCACTTCCTTTTGCCTCCCACCTGGCTTTTACTCTTTGATGTGTACAGCATACATCAATGCAGAGGTCTTTATCTTTCTTCCCCCCACTCCCAAGAATATCCCTATTTCAAAACATTAGCACCTATTTCCTTTCCTATTTCCTACCTAAACCACAAATGCTTTCTCAATGAATTAGGTTGCTCTGGCTATAAAGTAATAGGCAAGGGCAACTTACTGGATTTCTAAATTCTCAAGATTCCTGCCATATAGTACACTGTGATCATCTTGTGGTCTTGTTCTTCTGTTTGTTATCTTTCCTACATACCTGAATCTCTCACCTCAGTGTTCCCATGGAAGATATTTTCTCTCTTGATTTTTATATCTACCTACTTTTTTGAGAACACTGGCTCCGAATCCTGGTGAGAGAGCTGTACTATACTGCAGCACAAGAAATCAGGATACCCACAAGCTTCAGAAAATGGGGCTAAAGTGCATTCTAACAAAGCAGCTTTTGTTTCAGGACTGTATTTACCTGACCTCTAAGGACAAGAAGCTCTTCTCTTTAGAAAAACATTAATGTATTAAAAAAAAATAATAATAATAACTCCATTGGCTGCCTAGTGGGAGAGAGCACTTCTCAAGTTGGTGTCTACTATCAAAATGGAGAGAAGGGACAGACTTCTTCTACAAACTTAAAATTTTGTGTTTTCATATTAATAATAACCTATTTTTAAAAATCAATATAAGAATATCCTGGATCATCTAGATGACAGAGCAGTGTCATAAAATTTCTGTGTCTGAATTTGGTTTTTTATTTACAACCAAGGTAACACCAATCTAGTTGTGTGCACTAATGAGAAATTAACATAGTATCCTTATTACCTAATAAATGCATTTGTACCAAATGAGACCAAATTATGTCAAGGCACACTATATGAATGAAGAGTTCACAGTAGTTTGAACAGACAAAATGGGGAGAATTGAGTCATTATTCTACACACAGTATAGAATGGAAACCTAAATAAAACAAATAAAAGGGTGGGCTTTATATAGATTATTAAAGTTTGAAAAACATTAATGTAAGATATAGAAACATCCCACAAGGAACCCACAAGGGCAAAGGAAGAGATAAAGCAAATAAATTCATGACAAATCTTCTGTTGGCTGCATTTTAATTATAATCAATCATTCCTCACATTCCATCCTGGCTAATATTTGAATTGAGAAGATATAATACAGAGAAAAAAGTGCAGAATGTGATACATACTAACACATTGCGTACCGCATAGAAATCTCTAAGACATATGCCAGGGACCACACGTTTTTGGGCAAACTGCACGTTATTTAAATCATCATAATGCACTTTAGGTGTTGTTTTTAAATAATTATAACATTTTTATTTACAAAAACAATTAAACAATTAAAGTTCCTAGTACTTTTTTAACATATGGTACTGCGTAAAACATTTTCCTCTATGAAGAGGGACCAAACAAAATTTATATAAGTATCTAGATTCGCTCCTTTTTCCAGGGGCGTGAAAAACGAGAACACTCGTGAGCAGTCCTTAACAGATGGCACGCGGAAACACGAGAAAACTCCTAAGCGGTATGAAATGTGCTAATATTGGTGGCAGTCTTGATTAAAAAAAAAAAATGAGGACGGGACTGATAAATAAGATTTCATAACCTCAATTTCAGCATTATATTGCGTAGAAACCCTATATTAAGATTAATTTTCTTCATAAAAAATCTTGCTTATTAAAGAAAATATGGAAATACAGAAAAAGAAAAAAAATCACCCACACTCTTCTCACCTAAACTACTATTAGCATTTTGGAATATGCACCTGTATTTACTCAATAGACAGAATTCTCTAGGTTTTTTTGTTTGTTTGTTTTTCTTAAATATGGTTGAAATCTGAGTACACTACAAACCACTTTATAAGCATTTTAACTTGGAATTACTTTCCTGGATTCAACTCAGCCTCTAAACCCAAAGAGACCACCTGGGATTCTCTGAATTTAATTTAGAGTCAGTTGAGAGACCCTAGATATCTTCTGACCCAGATTCAAAATAAACTTTAAGTACAAAGACAAAAGAACGTTTTATCTCAGAATATTTAGTGTTTTTTTTTATAAATTAATAAGGGGGGGAAGGGCAACATCTTGGTCAGTGAAAGCTATAGCCTATAATTTTGGCACTAAAATACTACTGAGGTCTTTGATTCTAAATAACATATAATCAGTAACAAGAGGATTTTTTGAAGGGAAGAGAGGTAATGTGATTATGAGAACTTGAAGGAAAGCAACTGGAATTATAATACAGTTTACTGAGAGAAAGACACATACTTTGAATCTGGGAAGGTAAGTATTTCAACTTCAGCCCTAAATTACTTCATCTCATTATAAAAGATCTAAAACCAATTAAATGAACTTACCAACATTCAAAACAAATTGTTATGTATACAGTTTTAAATACAGAACATCTCTGCTTTAAATACAGATTAAAAAGTTGAACATTTTTAACCCACAAAAATATCTATAATAATAAAAGCGTGATATGCTAATTACACCTGTTGGCCAAACAGCAGAAAGACCGTCCAGACGACCTGAACGAAGCTGGGCACTGCGGCTGTGAGGGCTGAGCCCCTTGCATGAATTTCGTGCATCGGGCCTCTAGTATAATGAAATATAAGTAAATGGGAAGGGGGAGTGCATAGCATATAACTAGAAGTTTAAAAGATCTGGCATTAAACACATATGTGTACACACGAATAAGTTTATTGGCTTTATAAGAGCCACCCATTTAATCTTGGATAAGTGACTTAGTATGTTTGGCCAGAGTTTCTGAATCTGTAAAATGAGGACGCTAGAAATTCACTCTAGCTATAAATCCTATTGAGACATGTTTTTTCTTGCACACTTAATCTCATAAATTAAACTGAGGTTAAAACACACACAACGCTTTTAATGAAAAATCTCTCTTAAAAATAATTTCTAATAAGTGTCAAAGCAAAAAATAATGTTTTCCAGTAAGTTAGTATTTATGCTCTTAGACTTGGTTCCATCTAATATTGAGGTTGGATTTTCCAATGGCTACTGACATCCTGTTATAACATCTATTGCTTTCAATGTATACTCCTAGCAAGATCAAACCTGCTTTTTATTCTTGCTCCCAAAACACCAATAGGAAAGTAAATAAGAAAAATACGCCATTATCATCTATAATAAGGTCTCTATATTAATAGTTTGTAAAAGGAATATATGAAATACATGTTTTTAGTAGTGTATGATACTAAATAAGCACCTCTAACTATGTAAAGAAATTAACTTCTGAATTTTAAGTAGTCAAAATTTATACATGAATTTTGCTCCTATAAAATTATATATTTTAATGATATAGCTACACTGTCCTCACCCTACAAATAAAAACCCAGAATGGAAACAATTTACTGGAAATCAATGGAGACAAACTATATGCAGTCAATGAAACATTGAAGTACAACTACCCAACTATCTTTACATGCAGAACTGCTGTGTACTTTGTACTCAGGCAGCTATTTAGTCTCAAAATAGTTTAGTTTAAGAACAATAAAAACCCAAGTTTTAGTTAACTTGTTAATGTGCCTTTATAAAAACTCTACTTGACTCACCTTAGTCCAAGGATGTGCCTTAATTTGAGGAAATTTGAATTCTGTGTAGTTTGGATTCATTTCTCTAATTTGCTCCCTTGTTGGTGTCCCCAGAACCTAGATAGAGAAAACAAGTTATTACCATAATTTTCTATATACTTACAAGTATAACATTTATGTTTCAATGTATTGGTTTCATTGGAAAAGGTATTCCAAAGTTATAAAATACAAAACTCATTAAATAGAGCAAACTTTGTGAAAGATGTTTCATTTTTAACTGATTACAGACGCATGCTATTCTACCCTACACAGGCTTTTATAATAATAATAATAATAATAATAATAATAATAATAATGATGATGTTATATCAGGGTTTTAAAAAAAGATCACTAATAACCAGGCATCTTTATTCTATCTAGAAAACAAGCTATTGCAATGATGGCATCTGAAATGAGAATAGCTCTTATTCATTTAGTTAAGCATAGTCCAAGGTTTTATTATCAACTAGAGGCATGTGCGTGCACTCGGGGGTGGGGGGTGGGAGGGTGCCCCTCAGCCCAGCCTGCACCCTCTTACAGTCCAGGAGCCCTCAGGGGTGTCCGACTGCAGGGAGTGGGCCTAAGCTGTCAGTCAGACATCCTTAGTGCTGCTGCAGAGGCGGGAGAGGCTCCCGCCACCGCCGCTGTGCTTGCCAGCCTTGAGTCCGGCTCAGGGCTTCTGGCTGAGTGGTGCTCCCCTGTGGGAGTGCACTGACTATCAGGCGGTAGCTCCTGTGTTGAGCGTCTGCCCCTGGTGGTCAGTGCGTGTCACAGCGACTGGTCGTTCAGTTTGGTCGATCTGCATATTAGCCTTTTATTATTTAGGATTATCGGGAAAGCCATACCTAACCATGGTCATCAATAATTCTACTTAATCATTGAATATTTAGTGATTGTCCCCTGTGTATAAAGAACTATGCTATGATATGTGGAAGATAATAAAAATAAAAAACACCCAATAAATTTCTTGCATGATGAAATTACATATTTGTGCGTGGAGAGAGTATAAGTACAATACAAGATAAAAATTTACTGAGTACTTCATTGCCTCTAGAGCTGCATTCAGGACTGAACAAAGGAAAATATATAGACCTGGCTCCAAAAACAGATGATGGGAAGAAACACTAAATATTAAAAATGAGCACTCTGAAGAAAAATGACATCTATAACTCATCTTTATAAACTCTAGGGCCTAGTACAAAACAGGTTCGTTGAAATATTAAGCCATTTACAATTCAGGACAACTGCACAGAAAAAGTGGAATGTACAATACATACTTGATTTCTGGTGGTAACCAGTGAATAATCAGAGCAAAGAAATTAAGTTTTTTTTTTTTTAAATATATTTTATTGATTTTTTACAGAGAGGAAGGGAGAGGGATAGAGAGCTAGAAACATCGATGAGAGAGAAACATCGATCAGCTGCCTCCTGCACATCTCCTACTGGGGATGTGCCCGCAACCCAGGTACATGCCCCCGACCGGAATCGAACCTGGGACCTTTCAGTCCGCAGGCCGATGCTCTATCCACTGAGCCAAACCGGTTTCGGCAGAAATTAAGTTTTGTTTTGCTTTTTGCTGTTGCTTCCAATTCTCTAGACTTCTTTAAAACTTTCAGGCCTTAATCAAAATCTTAAAAGTGTTATTCTTCAAAAGACACTCTTAAGAAATCAAAAGCCAAGCTACAGACTAAAACATATATTCCGCAAAGGATTTAAATCTAGAATACACAAAAGACTCTAATCATTAAAACACAAGATGATGATCCAAGATGGTGGTAGATTAGGACCAAACTGGAATTACAACTAAATTATAACACACACACACACAAATTATGGAACAATCATCCGAATAACCAACTGGAGATTAGATGAAGAGACGTCTTATAACCAAAGATTTATAGAAGACACTACATTGAGACTGGCAAGAAGGGCAGAGATGAGAAAAGGGCTGGCTCTGCCTCCCGGGTGGCAGCTGAGATTCCGGAGGGATATCTCAACTGTGGGGGAACCCCCCTGATAAATGTGGGGTCAAAACCCCAAGTTGGGCTCCCCAGCTCCGAGCACCAGGGCCAGGAAGAGGCACCCACATAACATTGAAATCTTTGAGTTTATTCTTGTGTATGATGTAAGGTGGTCTAGTTTCACATTTTTTTGCACATATCTGTCCAATTTTTTCCAACACCATTTATTGACTAGACCAGTGGTCGGCAAACTCATTAGTCAACAGAGCCAAATATCAACAGTACAATGACTGAAATTTCTTTTGAGAGCCAATTTTTTTTAAACTTAAACTATATAGGTAGGTACATTGTTATTAACTTAATTAGGGTACTCCTAAGCTGGCCTTTGCTAAAAATGTCCTCAATCTGATTGAGGTACATTCGCTGAGGTCGACCCCTTCCAACTCTCCCATCCACACTCGTCTCGTATACTTGTTTCAGATAGATGAGTGTGGATGGGAGAGTTGGAAGGGGCCGACCTCAGTGAACGTACCTCAAAACAATGTACCTCCCCCGTGCTGCATATCCCTCGGCCGGCCTGCGCCGCGTCTCCCGTCGCCTGACCTACCGACACCCCCCACTTCTTCTAACGCCACTTCTTCAAAATAGACTCGCCCAGGCCGAAAACCGACTTCTGTGCATGGGCCACAAAGTTTCAATTGCACTGTACGTGCGTCCCCACACGTGGTTTTTTGTGGAAGAGCCACACTCAAGGGGCCAAAGAGCCACATGTGGCTCGCGAGCCATGGTTTGCCGACTACTGGACTAGACTATTAAAGATAGTCTTCAATAGTATGTTCTTATCTACTTTGCCAAATATTAATTGACCATAAAGGCATTGGTTTATTTCTGGGCTCTCTATTCTGTTCCATTAATCTATATGTCTGTTTTTATGCCAGCACCATACTGTTTTGATTACTATAGCCTTGTATTATAGTTTGATATCAGATAGCATGATTCCTCCAACTTTGTTGTCCTTTCTCAAGATTGCTGTGGCTATTCTGGGTCTCTTTTTTATTTTATTATTATTATTTGCTAAATATATTTTTAATGATTTCAGAGAGGAAGAGGTAGAGAGAGATAAAAACATCAATGATGAGAATCATTGATTGGCTGCCTCCTGCACACCCTCTACTGTGGATTGAGCCCAGTCCAGGGCATGTGCCCTTGACCATAATTGAACCTGGAACCCTTCAGTCCACCGGTGGATGTTCTATCCACTGAGCCAAACCAGCCAGGGCTATTCTGGGGCTTTTGTGGTTCCATACAAAGTTCTAAAATATTTGTTCTAGTTCATTGGTATCTTGGTAGGAATTGCACTGAACCTATAGATTGCTTTGGATAGTTTGGACATTTTAATGATGTTAATTCCTATCTATGAACATGGTACATGCTTCCACTTATTTGTATCTTCTTTTCTTTCTTCAGTGTCTTATAACTTTCTAAGTACAGGTCTTTTACATCCTTGGCTAAATTTATTTCTAGGTATTTCATTTTATTTTTGATGCAATTGGAAATGGGATTGTTTTCTTAGTTTCCCTGATAGTTCAATATTGGTGTATAAAAATGCAACTGATTTCTGAATATTTATTTTGTATCTTGCTACTTTACTGAATTAATTTGTCAATTAAGGTAGTACTTTGGTGGAATCTTTAGGGTTCTCTCTATATAACATCATGTCACCTGCAAATAATGACAGTTTTACTTCTTCCTTTCTAATTTGGATGCCTTTTATTTCTTCTTGCCTGATTGCTGTGGCTAGGACTTCCAGTATTATATTGAGTAAGAGTGGTGAAAGTGGACATCCCTGTCTTGTTCCCAATCTTAAGGAAACACTTGCAGTTTTTGCCTATTGAGTATGCTATTGGCTGGCCCTACATATATGGTCTTCATTATGTTGGGGTATGTTCCCTCTATTCCCACTTTGCTGAGAGTTTGTATCAAATGGGTGCTGGATTTATATTTTTATCTAAGCATTTTTACATACTTATAATGCCCCTTCAATATATACCAGTGCATTCATATGGAAAATCTTTTATCAGAATGGAAATAATCTGCTTTGATGAACAGTGATAATATAAAAAAGACTCTTAATTACACTTCTAATTTACGATCAGAGTTTAACTAACTGTGTTCTTCACTTTCAAAATGAGTTTTTGTGACTTAAGATGCTAATTACAAGTTAGTAAGTGAAATCATTGATTTATTCACTATCATTTAAAAGTAATTTAACCAAATAAATTATCCTGTCACCATAAAGTGGCAACAGAGATTTTTATTTCTGTTCTTGAATTACTAAGGCTATTAGATCAGGAAACATAGATTCTAATGTTATAATTTGTTCTGTTTAATTTCTCTTGCCAAATACTGAACTACTGTAATCAGTTTTTCTAATCTTTTTCTTCTTATTTTTTATAATCTTAAAGCCAGGTTCTCGCCAGGCTGGCTCTTAGAGATGGAAACTATAGGCAAGAGCCTCTGGTCTCTAGAGGTCAGCAAACCTTTAACATAAAGAGCCCTAAAGTATTACTTTAGGCTTTGTGGGCCATATAGCCTCTGTCACTACTCAACTCTGCCACTGCAGCACAAAGCAGCCATCAACATAAATTTATTACAAAAATGGGCAGAAGACTGTATTTGAACCCTAGGTCCTAGTTGCCGACCTCTGACCTACACTAAACATTTTCAGAGATCAGATAAACTGAGGCCCTGAAGGAGCAATTTTTCAGAGGTCAGAACTAATTAGAGGCAGAGCTAGGACATAATTTAAATCTCATTTGTGACAAACTGATTTAGGAGATAATATCAAGTAATCTATTTACTAGACTTGGTTGGAGTACACATAATTTCAGTTTCTAATTTTGGTAGTTGTAAAAAAAATGCTGATGATATTAAACACGAAGGAATAGTGTTGGAAGAGAAAATAATATTTAAGACACTCAAGAAGAACCCAGGTGAGTTCTCCATCAAGTGGTGAATATCATCTAGAAGAGAGCTTGAGCTAGAAAAAACATCTTAGGTAGTTCCTGATGTACAGGTGCTAGGTGGCTTTAAGTGTATAACAAGCAAGGCATGTTG